GGGGTTGTGTGCTGTTGTATTGATGTTTGTATGTGCGGTGCCTGTGTATGCGTTCAATATGTGTTGACCTGATGTTTGTAGTGTGCGCAACGTGTCTACATATGTTAGAGATTCCGAAGAAAAGGAAACGTAATTGTGGCGTAAGAAAATAAAAATATGTTTTTGTAAAACATGAATTGGGCGGTACCTAGCGCCACCTAGCCTAGCTACGTGCGATTACTTTGCTTGACCCTGCCATCCAGTGGTGTGAACTTAGCGAGAAAGTCGCTAAATTTAGAGTGTTTTCAGTCGTCTTAACGACAATTTTGTGTTTTTGGAGTCTTAGCGACTTTTTTGGGGACTTTTTTTTTTTTCTAGTTATGTAAATTGTTACTAAAGCTACGTGAACGGGGGGGAAATATGTTAGTCGGATAGCTCTCCGGTGGCTTCCAGGGGACAGCTCTGGATGTCACTCATTTTTGTTAATTTTTATTCATCCGGTTGTGGGTGAGGTGACGTGGTGACGTTCTCCGACCCAAAAGCGAGGGTTTTGTTCGATAAGGATGAAGCAGAACAGGCTTCCGCTGTTTTGTTCATGGACCAGGATCTTCTCGCCAACGCCTTGAGTCACTCAAGGTGTTGGCGAGTCCTTGGGAATGGGACGGCCGACTCCAACTATTCACTTGTCTCGTCACAAAAAAAAAAAAAAAAAAAAAAAAAAAAAAAAAAAAAAAAAAACCTTTACTTTTTATAAAAAAAAAATCCGGAAAAGGTCATCATCATCATCACCACTCAGCGACTTTTCGCTAAAACTGGCGACTTTTAGGTCGCGTCCTGGCGACTTCGCCCAAAAAAACTTAACAGCACTGCTGCCATCTGATGGCAAGCGATTTAACATCCTTTTACGCTACGCGGCTACGCCATAATTTCGTGTTACCGTGTTGAGATAAGCCAAGAGGTTGCTTCAGATTTGCTGAGAGCGGCTTTTGGTTTTGCGGGCGAATGATTTTCACTCCTCCGTGATGTGCGGTTGACGCAACGGTTGACGAAGGAATTGTGGCTCGAGGAATAGCAAAGGTAGGACATAAAGTGCGCGAACTGAGTGCCGGTTGTCTCCGTTGAACATCGCAGTGCTGACGATGAGAAGACTGAGTGACTGCATGCTTTCGAAACGTAAGTTTCTTTACCTGCAGGGGTAAAGAAACTTCGGAAATAAATACAGTTCGCGGAAAGCTCGTGTTACGTTTTTATTTCCTGCTCCTCTCGCTTCGTGCAATAGACTTAGTGTTCTCGTTAAGCCTTACCGAGCTCGATTTGCTCGATTCGTGGCCGCCATAATGAGATGCAGTCGACGGAGGAACTTTTCCTCCCCTGCTTAAGGGACGAAAGTTTCTCCCTTTCTGAAGGAACATATGTGTCAAGAGCGTTCCTCCCTTTAGGGAGGACTATACTGACCCTTTTTTCTAAGAGTGTATTCGCTACCTTACAAAAGACTACTTCTTATACAGGTCACCAGTAACAACGGCGCAAGTGTGCAGCTCTGAAGGTCATAGGTAACTCGCCGTAGAAGGGCAGTCACACGAAGGGAACGTCTGGAAACACCAGCACGAACGGCTACAAAATGTGCATGCCCGTGGAAGAAAGAAACCTCATTATCCTACTGAGCGTTCTAACCTGCTTCAAAGGTTAACAAAAGCTTCAAAGAGGAATTCAGGTACCGCGTTGTTGCGCATGCACTTTCGGATGTTCGCCATTGACAGTTTTGCTTTTTAGGTTTTATGCAGGCATTACTAAATTTTCAAACTTTTTCTTGTTCTTCAAGTTCATAAAGTTTTCAGTTAGGTTTTCGTTGCCTAGAGAGTAAGCCACAGAAAACACTTGCCCGCAATTATTAATTTGGGAGCAATATACCCAATAAGCTTAATAAATAATACAAAAAAGACATTTTATTTTTTAAGAAGCTGACGAGTTTTAATGAGAATAAATTGACATATGTTACGCATGATCCAACAGCCTCCATATAAAAAGAAGAAAAAAAAATCGGTGAGCTTTTCTCCGCATCCACCGGTTTTGCGGTGAGCTTTTCTCCGGTGAGCTTTTCTCCGAGATTCATCTGAATGCATTCGCATCATTTTTGTTTGAAAATGTCCTTGATAATAAGAACAGGTGAAAGAAACACCAGGGCGAGGACAGCTGGGCTTAAAGGGATACTACAACGAAATTTCGGCGCTCATTTTTTGGTCTATATGTGTTCAAAAAGCATCATCAAATCGAACATACCAATATCTTGTTAAAAAAACTCATGAAAATGAATTTTAAAACGAATTAAACGATTAGCAAAGAGCACCTGGTGGATGTCGCTAACGCCTCGCTTGTAATGCCCGTCTAGCAACCTTGGCAGCTAGTGACGGAGGTTGTCTCACCTCCGGCCACGACGAGAGAAGAGGGGCAGGAAGAACTCCCCTCTTCCCGAGAATGCCTTTTGTGTGTCGCAGAAGTCGCTATTGTCCCCCTACAAGATTATAGAAGATTAACCCGTCACTCAAAATTTGTACAAAAGCAGCCGCTTCGGTGGCTGGAACGACTAGGCCATCCTCTCGACGTCAGCCTCGCCGTAGCTTTGCTCGTCTTGAGACGACCTACGTCAGGATTGCGTTGGATGTCACGTGGTCTCCGCTGGGCCTTCTCTGAGCGCTTGCCAGAGTGGGCCGTTTATAACGAAAAATACAGCCACCAGGCTCAAAATACAAACGTGCGATTGTCATTTACGGATATTGTGGATCATATTCAACCTATTTTTGAACACGACGGGAATATTTCAAATTTCGTTGAAGTATCCCTTTAAGCCGTCGGTGCTGTCTTGGGGTGGGGGATGGGCATTAAATGAAGCGAGTCAGACAGAGAAGTGAGATTAAATGAAGTGAGTCGGTGCAGCAGGTTTTTAGTGGCCTGCCGGTACCACCTTTTATTAGTGCGTCATACCCAGGCCACACCTGGGCAGCTGCTTCCAACTTATCAATAACTGCAAAATGGAGCGTCGGAAAAAATAAATAATTGAATTCAATCAGGCATCGGCTCATTGCGGTGTCGCGTGCGTTCGCGTCAAATCGTGATTTGCTGAGGGCCGATGGTGTAATGCCATTTTTTCGACGCGTCCTGCGACCCGCCAGACGTTTGGTCCTGCTTGGGTACGACCCGACTTCTGCCCCACGACTGATATACTGCGTGGTCGGGCCTTCTGATGAGGGATATCCTTACTGACTGATCGCTGCACCATTATCACTAGGGTGTGTATTTTTCGGTTTTAACCGAAAAACACCGATAAACATCCGTCGGTGACAAAAATATAAAATCGGTTAAAACCGAAAAACACCGGTGGTTGGATATTTTCGCCCTGGTTAAAACCAAAAAACACCGGTTGTTGCATGTTTCCGACCTAGCAAAACCCTTTCCCCGTAGAGGTTCGTCAAACGTGTTATCTCGTGGATCCTGCATTCTTCCAGTGTTTACACAAGCCTTGCACGTGGCGTCAGTCCGCCCTCCTTTCTGGCGGTCAAAAGCGTCTAGTGAACGCATTGGAAGCTAAGCTCTCGCACGCCTTTCCCCTATTGTGTCTACCATGGCCCCCTTTTGTGGAAAAGTTAACGCAGTGGAGGGTAGGCTTTCACGTACCCTTTCCCCATTGTGTCTGGTCAAGTGATGTCGGTGCAAGCCATGTATTCAGAGGCTGCCGTGGTTCCTGGAAGACACTGCCAACGTCCGTGTCGTACAGGAGCGTGCGTTTTCATAATTGCGGGTTCTGAACCGCAAAGAATGTGCTGCCATGACGGATGCAAGCCTCTCGAAGTATGCTTGCATCTACTATAATAACCATGTGTGAAAATAGATTCTTCCTAGAGAAGAAGTGTATGAAATATGTGAATAAAATTGGAACTCTCTGTCTGTGATCCATCGCATTTTTTCCACCGATAATCACCGATTTTAGCCTAGTCGTGAGACGTTCCACCGAAAAACATCCGCCGATTTTTCTCACAAATAAACACCAGAAAGTACACACCCTAATTATCACCAGGGTGTCTTACTACCGAGAGCATGCAAGTGCACACTTTCAAGCGCACTTGCCCATGAAGGGTCTAACGCTCTGCCATGCAGTCGCTGCAGCCGTAGGTATTGCACTTTGTCCACTTCTCAACCTGTCACCAAAATGTCACTGCTGGCGACAGAAAGGACCGGATGAAAAGGAATCGCCCAACAATTGTCTGTGATGAGATTTTGCGCATCGAGGTGCATAGTACACGAAAGTCTGATCATCGATATTGCCAGAACACTGCACTTTTAGCGTGGAAGGTTTCTAACAATACCAATGTATTCTTACGCCTAAAGGCTATGCATTATCCAAAAATCGTCGTCCGCATGCCCTAGCCGAGAAAAAAGCATGGTAAATGTGAATCAACGTATACCTCCTATACATCAGGCTGTTTCTACGGCTGCATCTGGTTTCCACGACTTCAAGTCATATTTTCCTATTCCGGAAACATGTACAGATGGCAAGTAGAACCTATGGCCTGCTTTTGGGCCACTTGGCCCATTTATAAGCATCAGTCAAAACAGACAGGTAGAATAACCAGCTTGCCATGTCATTATTGTTGTATCGGTGGAAAAATAAACAAACTACTATCAGTAGTACTGTTAAGAGAGATCTCAATATTTGTAATGCACAAAACCCGTTAATTACTGAGGTTAGGTTAGGTTAGTTTTAGATTAGGCAACGAAAATTTGTGAAGAACCTTACACATCACAAAATTACCCAACATAGGTGTCTCTGTCCCTGGAGTTTCGCATAGTACAATGTGCAGCCTGTGAGACACAAAACAGCAAAGACCAAAACAGCCGTTTGTTCTTGGCTGTCTTGTTACGCTTGACAAGATGAAAAAAAAAACAAGTTAGAACTTGCTTGAATTAAAACACTTTTTAATAACAAAGATGTATGGAGAGCTCTGCCCAAGCAAACAAAGGCCAAAGAACCTCCACATGCTTTATTTTTTAGAAATAAACATGAAACTGTTAGTGTGCTAGTCATGCAATTGTCTCCATTGATCCAGCCATTAAAACACACCAATCTTCCCAAGCTAAATTACTGCCTCAACAGATTCACAAGTTCCGATCACAATAAGAAATCGACAACCAAGCAATGCAAGACGTACCAGCATATCTCCCTTGACAATCTTCAGACCTATTTTTGCAGGGTAAAACATCTGAAACAGCAAGTCAATACGTCAAGATGGGTGCCAGTACGGCTGCAGTCCCAAAGGGTAACACATTCTAGTAGGAGAGAGTATTCAAAACTCGAAAGCAAGCATCAAAAATTTAAGGAAGAATTAAATGCTGGAAGACAGAACACAGACAGCAGACCTTTATGTATAATTTAGCATATCTTTTTATGACTAACCCTTTTTTATGTCTTTGCATTGTACCAGAGTGCTTTCCTCTAAAAGTAGACATCCAACTTGCCTGAGGTTCTTGAGGGCTGTGTTTTCCAATGTTTGTCCACTGTCCTGTCCAAACCAGGTAACCGGTCACAGCCTTACCTAAAAATATCCAATGTCCATGTTATTATAAAAAAATAAGTGGAAATTAAAAACCATGCAAAACTCCTTTGAACTGACATTTACATTTACATTCCCAAAGTGTTCAATATTGCCAGTGGTTTCCCAGCACCATAAGTAGACGCACTCACCAAGCTTGTGGGTGTGGGTACGGAACGCTAACGGAAACAGCGTCAAGCTCTCGTTGATTCGACAAGCCAATTCAAAGTTCTCTGCAAACAAAAGTGTCAATCACACTTATTCAATCATTCCTTCGCCGGCTAGTCGAGTGTGAACATCGGGACAAAGTTGTGTAACTTTCAGCCTCACCTTTAGCATGTGCCCTGATCATTCTCCCAGTGCCAAAGATGTACACTCTTACCCTTCGCTTCAGCCTGAGAGGGGGAAATAAAATGACGAACGTGCCAGTGAGTCATTAGCGATACGCGAGTACATTGACTAGGCCATAGGTTCACAAAGACCCCCAAGAATCTACAACAAATCCACAAAGTAAAGTAAAGAAGCTTTTCCTTACTGCAAGAACTCATAACCTGCCCCAATTTAGCACCAACAGTTGCAATATTAGGCAAATGCTTCAGAAGCTAACATTAACTAAATTCAAAATATGGCTGCAATTTTCAAAAATTTACAATGAGAAGATGTCGACCAGCAAAGCCCGTGAATAGATGAAGTCAAACAGCATCTGCAGCAGGAAACAGGCCCGTTTCTTTCACAAGAAATTGGAACATTGCTTCTAACATAATAATCTGATGATGCTCAGACCCGCGGCACTTTGACATCTTATCCCAGCTGCTAGCGCAACAGATGGATGGAGACTCGACGTACATGGATGCCTAGCTTATCTTCTTATCCCAGTGAGAAAAAATACTCTCGGCATTTCTCAGCGCACGTCCTGCAGATTTCCTCAATTCACTTTCCCTTGAGTATAGTGTATCACCACAGAAGGCATGGTTTAGGAACCAAGTCACATATCTCTGTACGTGTTTGAACGAAGAATTCTCACTCTAGGCATAGTTTGATGACTAGGCTACTATATACGCCTCGCAAGTGGGCTTATTTTCGTCTTCTGCGCATGAAAAAGGAAGTAGCGGTGACGTCAGAACGCCGAGCCCTGATTGGCTGATCGCAGCCCCCTATCTGAGCGTCGTCTGCTCCTTTGCAACGTCGTCTGCTCGCAACGTCGTCTGCGCCTGTCTTACCTTTCCTGCGACTTTCGGAAGTCGAGCGAGCTCAACTTGGCCTTTCAGAGAGGGCAGACGAAATAACTCGAGCGGTACGTTGTGTTTGTCTAACAACTAGCAGACGCGCATCGAAGAGGGAAGTCAAAGGACTCACTGGCGAGGTGTCCCGAGGCGCCGAGGTTTGTTTGCTAAGAACCGAGAGGGTGAGCGTGTTAGTGTCCGGGAGTTCCCTCCCAAATACTTTTTCCCTCCTTTCATGTGCGGCGAGACCCCTCATTCTTTAACGGCGTCGGCGGGCTGGTGCAGTTAACGTCGTCTGCTTTGCGTCTGCTAGTCAAAGCGTAGGCTGCTTTACCTTTCCTGCGTCTGTCGGAGATTCACCGCTTTTTCACCGGCGAGAGTCACCGTTGCCTCGGGAAACAAGAAGATAACAAGAGGAAGAAATTGATCTCTTAATCTAAAACTGAGGTTAGCGATCAAAGTATAATACAGGAAGGGTTCACAAGGGTCGCGCGGGCATATTCCATTCACCACGCCAGCCGGTCATGGGCAGACGGTCGCCGAGTGCCTGCTAGGCCTAACTGCCGTGCTCGCTTGATCGCGTTCGGTGGATTCGTCGCCGTTGGAGTTTTTCCCGGCTGTTAGTGGATCCAGCGTTCTTGTTCGTCGTGGTCTGTTTCAAGTACTTTTTACTTTTTTCTTGCTGCTTGAAGTCGGGACGCGTGAGAAGCGCCCGTAGAAAAATAAACGTCCGTGGGTCGTCGCGACCGTGACGCTGTCGGCCATGCTGATTTGATCGTAAAAAGTGCGTAAGACACCTTCGGAGCTGTCGTAGGATTTTGTCGTAACCTGCGCAAAGCTTACGAAAATTTCGTTTCGTGAATATGAATTTGTTCTTAAGTTTTGTCTTACACACATTTCTGGCGCAAGATCGTTTCGTGAATCTGGCCTCTGCACTTCCGAAAGTCGCTGGAAAGGTAAGACAGAGGCAAACGACGTTGCGAGCAGACGACGTTGCAAAGGAGCAGACGACGCTCAGATAGGGGGTCGCGATAAGCCAATCAGGGCTCGGCGTTCTGACGTCACCGCTACCCCCTGCGCAAGGAGCAGACGAACTTGCCCTCCGCATTGCTTTGAAGGGGCACAAAAGTGTGTTTCGAGATCCTCGTTTTATAATCATAGCTCAATTTACGAGCTCCAAGCTTCCTAAAAAACCCGAAATTACATTCATGCTCGGCCGATTTGTGTTTTAAGGAGGACTTGGGGAATGAACAATAATTTTCTTATTTCTAGAGATATCTGAATGAAATTTACTGGGTGTGTTTATAACACAGACATAAGAGCAACTGCAAAATTTCATAAAGCTGTGCATATTATTTCTTGTTACAGATATTGATCAAAATCGTCCATATCCGTTCCTTATCCCAGGCCTGGAAAACTCGAAAAAGGCAATAGCATTATAAAATTTGTTATGGTGACCCCTGGATAGGTTTCCCAGGGCATAACAGAGCCCTTTTGTTTCATTCCTTTGTTGAACAATTTCAGCACAACTTCAAATTTTATGTGGTCGGTATAAAACTTACATTCATCTAATTTAATCTTTTTATTATAAATGCATAACACAGTTTTCTACAAAAAGGCTTTTGTTATGCCCTCACAAAGTTATATAGGAACCGAATAAAAAATACAACACGAAAATCCATTGAGTAGTTCCCGAGATATCGCTGGGACGAGCAGCCACGGCAGTGAAAATAACCATTCTGAGAAAACAGCACCTGAAAGTTGCACATATATTTTCGGCTTTAGAACAACCTTCCAGAGTAGTCCAAAGTGTACTTGCGCACCTCCTTCTTGTTCTGCCTATCCGACTTGATGCCGTTTGCTGGCCTTGTGCAGACGTAGGGCATCTTTTTCGGCACCTTGCTGGAGGGCTAGACAGGCCGACTGGAGACAGTGCAACCGAGATTTCTGACGATGCCCTGCAGCAGCCGGCGTTGAACCTCAACACCGGTTCATCCAGTGCACTTTCGGCAGGATCAGCAACGCATGCTGCTCCTTAGGCATCAAAGAACACAGAACCGAGTTGAAAGACTCAGGTGCATTCCGAGTTTTTGCTCCCAAGCAGCGTTGAGCAGAGAAACCTGCGACAAGCATTGGTAGATGAGTAGCTGAGCTGCAGTGACATGGCCTGGGAGTTTCTGCTTGTGCTGGGGCTGTGGTTCATCTTTTGCCTCGGCAACCCTATGATGGCACCACAATTGAGCTCCCTCCGGGCAGAGTTCATGGTGAGGCTCCTGGTTAGTCGACGTGACATGATGGTAGGTGGCGATAACAGCAGGCTGCATCGCTGCCACGTCCTTACAGTTGTTTCGGACGGCCCAGCCATAGCAGTCGGTGAGCTTGTCGATGAGGGCCTTTGTAGACGCGCCCTTACCGCTCAGCGGCCAGTCACACTTCTGGACGAGGTTGCACAGTGCCGTTCCCATCCTCTTCTGAACATGCTTTAAACACTCTTCTTTCCCGATGGGGGCTAGCCAATAGACATTCTCTTCTGTACTGGCAGAGAAGGTACTGCTGTCCCCGTCGGAGACGAGTGCTGTGTACTCACAGGTCGTGCTTGGAGACAGCACGCTTTAAGAGGGTCAAGACTGCCTCGACCTCTATCCTCCCAGATTTGCTGTCCGTGTTTTTTTGGCAGACATGATGCATATGCCAGTTGTCATATCCTTGATCTTCAGGCTTGGGTCCTGTTTGGCACCCAAGGCACAGGTTGGACAAAACCATGGAGACATTCGCAGCTGCCCAAAAGTCATTGAGAGCTGTCAGCCCCTTTCCTATCTGCTTGATCGCCACGATAGAGCGGATGTTGACTATAAAGGCCCTTGAGTCTTGTTGGCATGGCAAAGTCCAGGAACTTACAAGAATGCCGCAATGGGGGCATACAACCTTGAATATTGCTGCCAGTCGGAGTTTGGTGCCTTTTTGAACAGTCAATCCAGTTCCCGAGCAATGCTCGCGCACAGTGCAGCAGAGCAAGTTGCTCAAAACGTCGATCTGATCAAGGCAGAACTAGGCACCTTTGCTCGTAGCAGAGCAGGTGTGGGGTCAAGCAGCATGGCTTCAAACTTCCTCTGGGTCGCTGGCACAGCTACAAGTTCAGCTTAAACGGTATCACAATTTTTAGATTCTGCTTCGATCTCCTCGTGCGCCAGAAAATGCGTCCACATACTGGTGTTGGACGATGCGTTCCCACTCGTCGCAGCAGACGGAGCATGAGTGATGGGACCTCCGATCTTAGAAGGAACCACAGCGGTCGACGTGCTCTGTACTCTATGCGTGAGCAGGGCGATGCATTCTTCCTTGGCGACAGCCGATGGCACAGGAAATCCATCACTAGAAGCGTTGACACGATCCCCATTGACGGCACGCTGCGCAGAAACTTCCATATTCACCATCTACAGTAACTTCATGCTCCGCTTCCACGCACCAAATGCGCCAACGTCTTGTACTTCAAACCTTGCATCGTGTGCGACCACAAAACAGAAGGGCATACTACACGAAACTACTCAAAGAAAGTTCAGAAAACAATTGTAGAGATGGCGAAAGATGAACCGGAGCTGACAAAGCGAGAGTGTGAGCAAGCAAGCCACTGCCGAGAGCAGACGACGCGAGCAGCAACCGCATGAGAAACGGAAAGCACTCCCCAAGCAGAGAAATCGTGTCCCAGCCAATAGAACTTGCACGCCCCCCACACGCTCCTTCAGCGTGCACTCTATCCAATCACATTCTTGCAATTGCGACATGGAAGGATGGCGACCACGCCGTAATCACGCGGCCAATGCCATTTTGGGAGCTGGCAAATAAAAGAGAAAGAATTCACCTTCAAAACAAGACTAAGATGGTAGCCGTGGTGCAAGCCAACGCTTGATTTAAAGGGGCCAGCTGTATTCATCCATCCATCCGCCCTCTGCATCCCTCCGACTGCTTCGCAATCTAGGGGCAGGCGTGATGCATACAAAAGTACCTCTACAAAACCCTTTCCCTTTCCGGCCACCTTCTACTATGACGCACCCACTCTTGTCTACTCTCCTCTCTTCCTCCTCTTCTCTTTCTCTGGCTCCTCGAGCACAGTTCAATGCCCAAGGCTACGGCTGAATAAGCCTGACTCAACCGCAAGTTTGGCAGAGGACGGACATCTACCGCCGACGGCTTGCAGTCCGTTCTTACCGAGGGAAGGTGCGCCCGACGACTCGCACAAGGGCACCAAAAGCTGGCCGTGCGAGTTGTACACCCTCAGGTGGGGCAGCCTCCTGGTGAGGGACTCCAGGAGGGGGTCGTCGACCTGCAGCATGCCCGGGAGCAGAGGTTACACGGCGCACAAACAGTACACACAGCTTGCTCTCCCACTCGTCGTGGGTCGTTTAACGGTACTGCCAACCACGTAGGCATCTTCTTGAAGCATTAAGCGCCGCTCACACGCTTGCAACCGAGTAGGACAGAAAGAGACAAGACCGGTTTTTAAGCCTCTTCTGACGTTGCAGGACCAGATGTGCTGCTGCGGAGCAGGTCCTACGCCGTCGCAAGAGGCTTAAAAACCGGTAATGTCTCTCTACGTCCTACACGGTTGCAAGTGTGTGAAAGGCACTTTATTGACCGGGCGAAAAACGCAGAGTTACTCAGATGTGGACGCACGGGCGGCACCCAATATTTCCCCGAAGAAAGCTACAGCACATGTTCAAAATGCGTTTCGCAGCCCGGTAGACGAAGACAAGACAAGGTGCAGAAAGTGATTGTTTGAATTATCTATATAGGACTGAGGCAAAGGCAGAAACCGCCTCAGGCTTTACAAGAGGACACGAGGAAATGAAATGGAAAGTGAAAATAGTGTCCATAACTCGAAGTATCGAAACAGATTCGTAATACACACAAATAGGGACAGCCTAATATGGACCAAAGATGCCAAACTGAGTCGGGTTCGGCTAAGGCAATGGTTCTCAAACTGCGGTCCGTGGATCGCCAGGGGTTCGCAGCAACATTGGTGGGGGTCCGCACAGATGCGGAAGAGGACCAAAATTGTCGCTTCGAACCTCTTCGCAGCTATGGCGGAGTTCCCACTAGTCACGGTGTGCAGTTGCTGGTTTCTAGATGCGAGTGAATTTTTAATATAGCCTCTTTTAAAGGAAGTGCCCAGACGTGTCGCCACTTCCGCTTTCACCCTGAGAGACCACTTTGTCTGGGCTCATCCGCAGGATGTCGGAGACAATAGGTGTGACCTACATTTGGCCGGTTTGACGACTTCGACTTTCTCCGATTTATGATGACGCGAGTTTCCCAGTGCATGCGACGCGTCATTGCTGCATAAACATATTCAATGAGGGCCAGCGGATCCCCTCTGAGATAGTTGGGGTTCTGTAGTGACACAAAGTTGGAGAAGCGCCGACACAGTCTGTTGCGGGTTAAGAAGAGCAGAACAAGCCCCTCTTGCAAAGCTCTCTCCTTGCCATGATTGGTTGTTTCTTCCTCTCCACTCGCCTCCTCTCTAGTGTTTGCTCTATTTAAGTGGAACGAAAGCTTTTGAGAAGAGCTTGACCAAGCTTTCTTGACCCGCGGTAATAGACGTTACATGGGGTAAAGGTGGCAGTCGGTCGATCGACAACGTTTGACAGAAAACTACTGTTCTCGTCGACGATGCGTGGTGAAGAGGGATACTACCCGGTTTATTCCCCTTCATGGCACTATCGGAACGGTTGTGGGGAAACGTGCATGCTACTCACCATTTCTATCAGGTCCAGGTGCAGGTGGCGTAGCTTGGGCATGCTCACGACCAGGCCGGCCAGGCACAACCTTTGAACCTCGTACGGGCCCGGCAGGACCAGGCTCTCGAGGTTCCTGCGGGGAGGAATGCCATGCTCGTCTGCTCCTCACGTTCTGGTAGCTATGGGGGAGGTCGTTCAATCAGAACCACCAACCCCCACCCACACTGGCCAGGAGGCACGAGCCGCTGACCAACTCAAAACACATGCGTTTCCTTAGGGCGGAGTTCTTGTAATCTCTTACAACGACCGAACACGCTGGCACCATCTACGGGCTGACCTTGGGACTATTTCACTAAAGAAAAGGTTTTGAAATATTTCCAAGAAAAAATGTATGTACTATCTAAAAGAAATGGTAGCTTGCAACATTTGCAAGTTTTTCCAGCCAAAAGTGAAAGAATAATGCAGGAAAAAGGTAGGAAATACGGAAGTGCCGAGTGTTTCGCGGCTACCCCATAGATGGCACCAGTGTGCTCTAAGTGCTTGTTCCAAGAGATTTGAAGAGGTTTTAAGGTATGTGGTCGTAAGTGGTTGCAGGTGAGCTAGCACTTATCCATACTGTCTCGAATAAAACAAGTAAATGGATATAAAACTGAAAATAAATGTTTTAAGAAGGCAAACTTGCATCTGCCACGAAATAAATGGGAGACTGCGGAGGAGACGGAAGGGCGAATGTATCGAAGCAGCGCGCTACCGCCGCTTTTATACGTGCGCTGTCCCTGGAAAAGTTTTAGACCAGACCGCGCAATAACGGACAAGAATGGGTTGGAACTTTCCAAAAGAGTAATGACTGGCAAAAAAAAAGATTTTTTACTGTAATGGGCGACCTCTGCGTGGCAGCCGCACATGCTGCCAATTTCACCGTGCATCTCGATGTCCAGTGCCCCACTTCTGCAACAACTTTAGAAATAAAAAAAAATAAATAAACAGTCAATGAATTTTAGTTTTTGTGGCTGTTCTGACCAATCCGGCATTTCCAATCAATTAACCCCTTCATTGGGGATTTCCATGACCAAAAACTATTGGCAAAATGGGGACTTTTCTTGTCCCCATTTTGCCATTGGTACCACACATATCTCGTGACACTTTCTTTGTGATGCCATCTATCGACTTGTTGGTTTCTAAAGCAAAACTATTTCTGATGTTTAGGGATAGATGGCACTTCTTCCCGTGAGGCAAAAAGAGTAAGCATTTAAAGATGCGTTCCCCAAGATCATCCGAAGAAATGTGGTGCGTCCCCCCAAGCTGCGGTCAAAATTGCGACACGTCTAAAGACATACTTTCCAGTTAAGGGGTTAAGGTTGTGATACTAGGCAAGACATGTACAATACTTTCCTTCTAAATAAATTAAATGTTCCAATTTATCTGGGGGTGACATGGGGCTTTGTGTGGAACAAACAATCTGTTATGTACAAAGAAATGGCACATCCTGTAGGTGCTTTCACAATTGTAGTGTCCCTCCCCTTGCTCCGTGCAACGTTTTGTTTTCAGAAAATGAGTACTCAGGACAACCCGGTTTGAACATTCCCGCATGCAATAACTTCGACTGCCTTTATATTTCCTTGCCAAAATTCACCGCAGACAAAAGCAAATGGCAAATCCGTCAGAATCAGACATGCGTTGGCAGTCCCTGGAAGCAGTCTGCTCGGAATCTGCAAGGTGGCGTGCAACTGCACATAGTTGGAATGTGTGAATACTAGGGGTGTGCAAATATTTGAAACTTCAAATAACTTGTTAATTCTGTTTGTTATTCCACTTAATTTGCAGAACACCACTGCTGTTCAAAGTATTCGAGGTTTTAGGATATGCAAAAATTCTAAATAAATATGTTCAGAATTTCCCGGATTTCTGACGTCCAGCTTCTTACCGTTTTGCACCAGCCCTCTTGCGTCAATCTTCACAACATCACATTCATGTGCGAGCATCAAGCTTCTCTGCTCGCAGCGGCATTGTTGGAGAAATAGCTCACGTGGCAGAGTATCTCGATTGACTCAATGGGCTTAAAAATATTGCTTACTATCGTAGGCCAACCTTCCTTTATTAAAGCGGTAGCTTCATAGACCCAACCACACTCAAGGTTGTGTAATCAGGGTCATGAAATGCCTGTGGCTGAAGCGCTCGTGGCTAAAGCGTATGTGGCTGAAGTGCCTGTGACAGAAGTGCCCGTGGCCCAAGTGCCCTTGGCGCAAGTGCCCTTGGCGCAAGTGCCCTTGGCGCAAGTGCCCTTGGCGCAAGTGCCCTTGGCTGAAGCGTCGGTCGCGTAAGCTTTGGCTGCGTAAGCTCGTAAGCGCTGGTTGGACAAGCTTTGTTCGCATAAGCTCCGGTAGCTGAAGCTGACGTGACTCTGCGTCGTCCTAAAGATTGTCCTGAAGATCATCCCAGACGTCGTCCTCTAGGACGTCGTCCTTGAAGTCATCCTAGAGGTCGCTCTTAACATCGTCCTAGACACAGTTCTCAACGTCATCCTTGAGGTCGTCCTGGACACCAGCTTAGAGGTCATTGTTAACGTCATACTAGACGCTGTCCTTGACGTCGTCCTCAATGTGCATTATACAACCATTCTATCACCGTACCATTTTCTTTCCTAATTGTTTTCACTCATGACATTCCAGTAAAGCTACCACATTAGATTGCGCTTGGTCGAATGGACAAAGCTGCAACAATTGTTATGACTATCGGAAACAAATGCTAAACCATATTTCAATAAATAAGGAAGCCATTGTTTTGCTTGCCACATTACATTGTTTCAAAAGATCCATCTTATCGAGGGCCTTTCTATTATATACAAGTATGCAAACTGTTTCTTATGCGATGAAATTGTTTCAGGTTATGGCTCTGTTCTCCTAAAAAAGTAATTTCAGCTACAATTAATTAAAATATTCAAGGTTAATTAACAATGAATGTAAAATGCTCATATTCGAAAGTATTCATATTCGATTCATGCACAATTGTTAATATTCATGTTCGAGCCAAGGCAAGGGGTATAGAAAAGTGACGCAGCTACAACCAGGCGCAACACACTCGGTCGCAGTCGTATGCAAATGTATGAACCAGACTTCGAATCGAGGCATACTATATTAGGACGTTGCGATGACGAAGGCACTCAAGTTCGGTTGTCGTCTTTTGCGAGAACTTCTACGACCAACTGCTAGGACTGCGACACCCAACGGCACGACACGTTTGCTCCAGTGATCCCCAATTTGTTGCCGCCTCGGGGCCACTTTCAAAGTGCAGGCAGTGTAGGACACTAGACACACCAGTCGAAGATGCATTCCAGGCATCGCAATACCAACCCGCTCGCAGACAACACCTGCCGGGAACAAGTGAGAAGGGTGCCGACACTTACGGGCAGTTGTTGACGATAGTGGCCAGTCCCACTTCCGTGATGTCCCCGTACGAGTAAAGGGAGAGCACCTGGAGAAGCGGGCAGCTAGAAAAGAAAGCAGTTCAATGCAAAAACATCTTTCCAGATTTAAAAAAAAGAAAAAGGTCAAATTTGGGAATGTTTGCCAAACCAACGAAGGGCATCTGGCATATACCAATAGAGAAGCGAGGATTAATTTCGATCTTTTGATGCGCAACTTTTTGCGCAATAAGCCCCTTTGAGATTGCGAGCCCCTCGGCCGAGATTCGAACCCGCCACCTAGGGATGTGTGGGCTGGCGCTTTGCCTCTCTCTCTCCAGATCACAGTAACTGCATCAAACAATTTGATTGCTTTGTTTGACAGTCGCATTTGAAACCCGAGATAAATCGCATATAGCAGCATGTTATATATCCCCCACTCAAGATGCCAGTACGAACTGTGTATGGGTGGCCGTTCTCAACATATGCAGATGCATCCAGAAATGGAGTTCTGTTCATGCACGAGTCCCGTAAGAGCATTCTCTTCTGAACTGTGCAAGCGCAGTTGTGTTCCATCGTCTATTGGCCACACTTTGCCGTCATTTCGTAAGACTGTGATCATTTTTTCAGTTTCTGCTTTGCATTAACCCTGCTCAAGTCAACAAAACTACCCATTGACTCTGAAGTTTAGTCTCTGATAAGTGTTTTAAATGAGATAAATGTCAGTCCATCCAGACCACAAAAGATACAGTGAGAGATTTGCAAAATTTAAAGGGAAAATTTGTAAATGAATATACTATAACCTAAACCTATAGTAATGAGCAAAGCGATGGTGCAGAATAGTCTTAATGTTTTGCAATGTGGAGCAGCGGGCCGTTTCTGGTCGCAGACGATTTGACAAAAGATGTAAATAAAACAAAATTCTGGAGGAACATGCTTTTATTTCGAGAAGACTGCCCCAAAATAGAAGCATGTCTCTGAATTGCTCCCAACTTGAAATCTGACTTGCTTCATAAATCTAGCAAGCCTAAAAATTTTTGGAAGGAAAGTTAATTTTGTGACATAATGTCCTATCCAGGCACTTCAAAGAAAAAATTGTTCCTAAGATCCGATTTTCGTCACCACAAGAGCGAGATCTAATTTGTCTCTCGCTGAAAGAGCGAAGATAATGTTTGTACACGTTATGCCTGCTAACTTTAGCGAAGAATGTGGTTCGTCTGACACAAAACGCCATTCGCAGACAGAAATAAAAGTTGAAAACAGCGTCCTCTGCTAACAGACCGGGCAAAAAGTTAATTCTCCTCTATGAATTGTGCGCCACTGCAAAGCGAGATCGGAAGCAGGCAGAAATTGTGATTGTCTTCTACTTCACGGTGGAAGCCACTGACAAATCACGCTTCATATGAAACTCTCGGGCCATTCTCCTGCCGTACACAAGCTGACATCAAATGGTGGATGAAGGAGTGCTAAGGGCAAGCACATCAGATGTAGCAAGACCTCAATAGCTTGGTACATTGGTGAGACCTTCTCATCAAATTTTTGGTCAATTGTGAACTCACAAACAGGGTCAAATATGTTTCATTTGAATTGATTATGCACAAGCTGCGGCACCAGATCCCATCAGCAGCCGAGAACGCTCTCCCCCCGACTACAGTCGGACCCCCAGAAGTCCGGCGTCTTCCCATAACCCCTAGGAAGCTCCCCGCCCCGCAGCCCTACGCACCCCTTGACCAGCAAGGCGAGTGCCTGGTCGTCGAGCTCCATGTCCAGCTCCAGGGAGATCAAGCGGCCCAGGCTGCCCTCCCGGAACAGCGACCCCAGGCCGCTTGCCGTTAGCTGGAGACTCGCACGTAGCTTCAGCCGCCGGAGGGTCCGCAGCTCCTGCGCACAGGGGCCGTGTCGTTCGGACGCACTCTCGGCCACGTTGCACATGCGGCTCTGGCTCCCCATCTTTCCCACGGTGAATAAATGAATGAATGCATGAATGGTCGTGACCATAGTCACCCGCAAGGTGAAAAGGGCAGGGAGAAGCTTCAGTTGTCCCACCTGCGGCACAAGCCTTGTATACCTTTGATGACACCTCGGCGTCTCGTGTCCCTCGAGTGCATGCACACAGCCAAAACATGGCGAAAGACAACAAGTGCATTCTGAAGGCCAGGCGTTCAAAAGACACGCCCTTTGGCTCGCGTTTTGTCGGTGACTGTAGAGCCACTAAACAAGCCACGCTTTAGAGTTCTGACACTAAAGTGTATGTGGTGACATAGGTGTCCCATCTGGGCACTTAAAAAAAAAAGTTTCTGAAGGGGCGGGGGGGTTCTGCGTTACTTTTTTTTAGGGCGGACGAGGTCCTTTGGAGGCGTTCCCTAGCACCTGCCTTGATGGAGGCGAGGCTGGCGTCGGTGAGGCTCTCTGTGTAGCTCACAAAGAGGGTCTCGAGGCGGCTGCAGCGGCGCAGGGCCTTGAAGGAAGCGTCTGTCAGCAACTCCCCGTCCAGCTCCAGGCAGACCAACTGGGGCCCCAGGTGCTCGGCCAGACCGCAAACGGCCCTGCCGGGAGGAGGGGACGGCAGTCAATCACGGACGCTGTGGGCTGCCGTCTCTGGTGGAACATTGAATTGATGGGCTACGCTCGCGCTCGATTCCGTGCCACTGCAGTTTGGGTCCAGTGCCACCCTGATCTGGAGTTTGCAGTAGTAGCACGAGGAGTAGCCAGGAAGGAGGAAACTGACCGTCGATTCCTTCTTTCTTTCCACAGGGGGTGGCCAACACCTCCTAGGCTACGAGGCCATATTGCGCGCGATGTTTTATGTTGCCTGCCAGAAGCAAAGCCACACGGGGCACAAATTGGACACGGATGCGGCATTGGCACTCAGCTGGGAGTTGCGTCCTCGATGACTGAACAACAGTCCCAGTCGAATGCAAACACAACACTCATGTCTAATCTGCCTCCCTTGATTGGAATAGAAGATTCAGCATCATATGGCAGGAGGCATTGCAGTAGCTCAGAGATCCTTTTCGGGAAATGAGGATTAAAACGGAGAACGAGGGAATGAAGAGGAGGAGACTGAAAATTCGGGTCCCAGGCAAAAAAATTGTGCTGTACGTTGGCCTTTAACCCTTCTTCGTTACGAAATGTTCAAGGAACATCTGAAAGTTCAAGATATACTACCTCTCATCTATCCCATATACGAGTGCAAACTGGTTGCACATCAGCTGCACAAACTCTCGCGCAGCAGAAGAAACTGAAAATTAAGCTACACACTCGGGCTTCTATAAAAGGGTCGGGAAAAGAAAACAGACTTGCCCAGTTTTAAGTTTCTCCGCCTCTTTGACCATATGCGTGCTATTTACGAAAAGCTGCGTCAAACTCCCGCAAGCGGCTGCGACGCGCTACCTGTCGGTGATCCTGGAGATGCCGTCGGCGTTGAGCGACACGAGCCTGGGACAGCCCCTTGCCAGCGCCAAGAGCCCGTCGTCGGTAACCTGGCAGCAGTGCGACACGTTGACGCTCACCAGCCCCGTCAGAGAGCAGAGCGCTTCGACGGTCGCGTCGTCCACGCCCTTGCACCCCTCCACGTTCACGTGCGACAGTAGCGGGCAGCCATCCACGAAGTGGGACAGCACGGCGCCGTTCACGTCCAGCGAGCACCCCACGTCCAGCAGCCGGAGCTTGGGGAAGCGTGCCGCATGCGCGGCCCAGGCGGGCACGAGCGGCGACCTGCGGAGGGTCAGGGCCTCCAGCTGCGACAAGCGGTCGAGGGCGCTCTGGAGCCATCGGTCGTCCATGTCCTCGCGCACCGTCACGGTCCTCCACAGCCATGGGTCGTAGGCGAGGCGACGCAGTGCCTTGGAGACCCGCGCAACGAGCACAAGCTCACCGAGGCTCAGGTACGACAGCACCCGCAGCTGGAGCTCGCAGGGCAGGTCGCAGAACTCTGGCTCTGGGCCCATCCGCGTCGAGACGTCGTCCATGAAGACCGGAACGACGGCGTTAGCTCCGTGCGCGTCTGCGGGGCCGCGGGCCCGGGAGGTGACAACCCCGATTCGGGGGTTGCCTCATCGGGTTCCTCCGACGCGCTTGTCCTCCTGTCAAGCTCGCAAGACACAGCGGGTTTCGCAGTAGGCGACTCGCTGGGCTACCTGCGGTCGGTTGTAGAGCGTGCTAGGCACGGCAGGCGCCATGAGCAGGATCACCAAAGCTGCCAAGCATACCGGACACGACTCGTCTCGGGATCTACTACGGGCTCCGGGCTCTACGGAATCTACGATAAACTACAGTGCCTAGAAATATATATTCTAGGCACTCTAGATAAACGCAGCCACGCCGCCACGCAGGCCACGCAGCCGTCTGCTTTTTGTCATAACTAGCACCCTGGTGAGGTGAGTGGGCGTTGCGGTTTAAACAGAAATTTCTATACAGATTGCTTTTCATAGTTTGATTCGTTTCTAAGTGTAAAAGTTAAGATATGCTTTTTTTTTTTGTAATACAGTTTCCTTTTGTTATGCGTAATTTCAACCTTATCTGACTCTATGACCTAGAAACCGAAACCGAAAGTGACTGCGTATTTAGTTTATGAAGTTCAGGCGTGATCCATGGTCTATTTGTGTTCAATGAAGCATTATATACCAGAAATACCAATCTTTTGTTGAAAAAGACACGAAAATGAATTTTAAAACGAATTAGACGATTACCAAAGAGCACCTGGTGGATGTCGCTAACGGCTATTTTGTAATCCCCGTCTGGGGATTTTGACAGGTAGTGACTGTGACGGTAGCTGCAAATCGGTCAAGCCAAGCCTGCTTGGGATTGTAGCTTGTTAGCTTACTTGTTAGAGAGTTTTAGCTGTGCGTTTGCGTTAGAGATGCGTGCTCCACGTTGCGCACACGCCTCATCGCCATGCGCCAATCCAAGGCCGTAATTTTCGGCTAACTGCACGCGCAGTGTCAAACACGAAAAGCTATCGCAAATAAACAGCGCTTGCGTTCGCTCGTATATACAAAACTAAAACTCACAACGTCTTCCAACGCCAACGAAACGTGCTGCAATGAGCAGACGTGCAAGCAGGAAGGCGTTCCCTCGAACTGCAATGGCTGAGATTGGCAAAACGACGGAGCGTAAAAATGAAAGTAACTAATAATTATAAAAAGAATTTGTAATTAAAAAAAAAAAAAAACGAAATCCGTTTCTTTATTTTGCGGTGACTTTGGAAGCTTTGCCGATTGTCGAAAGTCGCGACTTTGATAGCAGCATATGCTTTACCCACAATTAATGTTATTTTACATGGGTTTCTCATTAGCTGCAATGTTTTCATTGATTTTAGACTATTTTTCTTTTGATAAATTGGCAATTAAAAATGCTGCAATTGGCACCAGTGATGATAATTAGCAGAGTTTTAATTGTCATACTTGTTCACGCGTTTAAAATTAGATCATAAGCAACAAATTACGTTACAACTTGGAACATTACGTGCTAATATATGTTCATTTTAATATTAATATTAAGACAAATCGCAGTGATTTATGCCCCGATTAAACGCCACGATCACAAAAATACGCCATTTATCCATAATAGTATTTCCAGAAAGGTATCATTCTATTTCATTGTTAGCATATGGAAAACTCTGACTAGTTATCACGATATACAAACAGTCAAACACTGGATGCAATATAATGTCCTATGCGTCACGCGCTGCTTTAAACAAACACACACACTTCAGCTGTCTGACTCGGATTCCGTCTTTGAGATTTTGTAGTGAGAACAGCGTTTCTTAATTTATACGCTTTGTGAACATATTGTCAAAATTGGTTTTATGCTGTTATTCTTGTGCTGGGAATAATTAAAGAAATTAATCATCTAAATACCCATAAAGCAATTGAAAGACCCACAGTTAATTATTTCAAATGACAATTATCTGAACGAGAAAAGGCAGCGAGAACGCACAAACAAAAGCCCTGATGTTTTCAACAACTACATTATTCTATGTAACCTCTAAGGTGTATGAAAGACCCTGTCATGGGACACTAAATCTCCAAAATATTTTGAAGTGCCTGGATCGAACACGTATGTCACAAAATAAAGTTTCCGCGAACAACATTTTTAAATAAATAATTACTATGTGAGACATATCTTGAGTTATAAAAGATCCCAAAAGTAGGTCCTATATCGAGATATTAAATTCAAAATAGAGGTTAGTTTCGGTTTCGCTCCAGAATTAAAACTTGCCTCCTGGCGTAAATATTACGCCAAACACCGCTTTTGTTTTTAGGATAAAGAGGTGATCTGCGCTCATAACACCTTAGCTCCCTCGTATTACCAGAAATAATATATGTCGCTCAATGAAGCCTACCCACTAGACAGGCTCAGCAGCGACACGAATCTCCGACCTTAAAACGAGTGGCGCCACCTATAGTGGATTGGAGTAGCGAATGATCCCTCTACAAGATTGTAGAAGATTAAGGCTCAACCTTAATTTATATACTGAAATCTTTTTTTTTATTAAATTTATTGTTGAAGTTCTGAGGCCAGATTCACGAAGAGCTTCTTAGTTTGCGACAACTTAGGGAAGTTCGTAAGTTAAGAACATCGTAAGAAGAGGAGAAATCGGTATTCACGAACGCGTTCTTAAAGGGGCCCTGCAATCATATTTAAGCGTCTACCTTTTACGCGGTTTCCACGTCTCTTGGGGTTCGGGCAAGCCAGCGGGCACGGAAAGAGTAGCTAAATATCAGTGCGCCATATTTTAACCGGACGACACGGAAACCTCCTCCACCGACGAGGGCGACCCGCGGTACCGAAAGCGCGCAAAATGTGACGTCTTTGGTCCTGGGCTTACTACTGGTCAGAGCCACTAAAAACTTCGTTTCGGTCAAAATACAAAATATAAGTGGCGCGAACCGTTTCAATTATTTATAAAAGTAGTTTTTGTTCACTACTATAAATGAAAAAAAGAAAAAAATGCAGTTTATAAGGTACGGAAACAAGAAATGACCCGTCAACATACCCGCCGCCAAGCGGTGGAAAAGGCGGCGCATACTAGAAAGGAGTAGTGGGATAAGGCGCCGGCACGGAAAAATCCCGGATGCACGCGGTGGCGCTGCAGTCGTCTGGACAGGAGGATCCGACCGGCTCCGAGCGTTCCGAAGGCCGTTGGCGAGAGGCTTTGTCTTGCGGTTTGGCCGTTTCGCGGTATGGCAGCGCGAAGTGGCTCCCATTCTGAACTGATCTCTATCCCGTGTTTGCTGTCGTTTGTGGACAATGAAGTGTCATGCCGAATTAGTGTTTAATCGCGCAGCAAACGCAATGAAAGCCGCTTTGGCTGCCCGCTGTGTACAGCCGATCCAGATGATGATGATGATGATGATGATGCTTGTGGCTATCCCCTTTGAAACGGGTGGTCACGTATGTCGTGTCCCAGCCATAGGTGGCTTTCACTTTCCCCTCTTTTCTCTACTTATCCACCAATTTTCTAATCGTCGTTTGGTGACGTCGACAGTCCATCTATCTGTCCATGGATGAAAGCCCAGTGCCTGTGGTAGCAATGGTAGCATTGGGGCCGCTGCCGCTGGTGGACCGATTGCCGCTTGATCGACTGCCGCAGTCTGTCTGGACCAGCTTGTGTTGTTTTGGCTATGCCCCTGGTTGTGCACGCGCCACGCTTCATCCCATTCTGGTGTCAGGCCGGTGCAGTGCAGAACTAGGTGCGTGATGGTTTCTTCTTCCTGACCGCAGGCTCCGCACTGCACTGATTCTATTGCTGGATCGAACCGCTGCCGATATAGTCTTGTGCGCAGCGCTCCTGCTCGGGCCTCAAACAGGAGACGGCTGCCTAGACTGTTATCATAGTAGGCCTCCGGTCCAATTGTGTCCTTGTGAGCAGTATACATTTGGAGTGAGGATTTCTTGTTTGCCTCCTTAACCCAGTGGGTCGTCTCTGCCTCTTTGACCCGTCGCCTCACCTCACTTGCCTACTTACTCGCAGTTGCCTCCATGACTGGCTGTGTGAAGAATCCATATTTCTTGCGGAGCTGGTTGACCCGCTTCGTCCACTGCGTCTGTACGCAGTTGACACTGATGTAGTCGAACACTCGCCTTGCCCACCGATGCCTGTCCATATGTAGGAGTCGTCCTCGGTAGGTTAGCTTGCTTGATGCCTCTCGTGCCTCAAACGTCGACCACCCGATGTCTCCTTGTATGGCCTCAATCGCCACGTTGCTGTGGCAGCTGAGTGCTTGGCGACCGACATCTCTCTGCCTGCGTTCTATCCAGGCTCGTGTGTCAGCCGAGGCACAGACGATCTCATTGGCAAACGTGAGCCCAGGCACATGAACAGCTTTCCACAATTCCTTGATCATCAAATATCTGTTACAGCTCCACATAATGCGCCGGCGTAAGATATTTTGCCCTCTCTGGGATGCCTGTCTAAGGTGTATTTGGTATTCGTCGCAGTAGTCGGGCCCATTCGTTAGTGTGACTCCCAGGTACCTATACTTCCCAGTCATCGTAACGTCTTCCTTCTGCAGCTGGAACTTAGTATTTACAATGTCGTTCCCAGAGAACTGCACCACTGCTGATTTCTGAACATTAAACTTCAGACCCAACACGGACGATGTTTCCACGCAAATATCTGCTAGCCTCTGCAACGTGTTCATGTCTTCAGCCATGAGGACGAGATCATCCGCGTATGCAAGACCCGGTAATGTCCAGTGTGTCACGCATCCATCTTCTATGCGGCGGAGTGAAAACCCTAAACCGGATGTTATTAATTTGCGCTCCATCTCTGCCGTGTACAACATGTACAGTAGAGGTGAAAGAGGGCATCCCTGCTTCAGTCCCCTCTTTACATTGACACACGTTGAATGTACACCTCCAAACGCGGCTGTAACAGTACCTCCGTCGTATAGTCGCTGTATCAATTCCGTCCACTGGTCAGGCATGTCTAGTCTTTTGAGGCAGTGGAACAGGGACCCATGGGGCACGCTGTCATATGCCTTAGCGACATCCAGGAAGCAGCATATGAAATCCCTGTTTTCTTTTCTGGCTATCTCTATGATCTGTGTTAATACAAAGAGGTTATCCTCCAGAACCTGCTTTAGTGGCGCCCTCTGGCGCCGTCGAGACGGAGTGCGGCGGCCGTGAGCGCTCGATGAGCTCACTATTCCTCCTCTAGTTCACGGCCACTCAAGCCAGGACCTACGACGTCATGAAGGAGGTTATTTTTTGCTTGTTTTTGTAATTCTAAATTGCCTATAACTTTTAAAATAAAGCGAATTTCGCGAAAAGAAAAGTTTCACTAAGTTACTACGTTCGGTGCGCTCAGGTTCGGTGCAAATTAAAAAACAGTAAAAAGTCCTTGCAGGGCC